TGCTGGGATTACAGGCGTGAGCCACTGCGCCCGGCGTTAACCACTGTTTTATGTTTTCTATCCATTTGTCTCTTTTTTTGCATTCTAGGTAATTTTCATAGCTCCTTTTAGAATTCAATAATTTTCTCCAGTCTGCTGTTAAACTCACCAAATTAGGCTCGTTCCTGACAATTTTTTAATTTCTAAAAGTTCTATTTTTCACCATGCCTGTGTCTTTATAGTATCTCATTGCTTATTTATTTTTTGCAAATCTATTTTTTAATTCTTTAGATATTTAATATATCATTATCCTATATTTGACAACTCTGTTCTTCAAAATCTTCAGATTTTGTTTCCACTGATTCTGACCTATGGTTTATTAATTGTAAATATTAAGCTTCTTATTTGGTTGGTCTGAACTGAGGTTGTTTTTCTGCAGAAAGGACTTGAATTTGCTTCTGCCAGGAGCCAAGGAGAACTTTTTATTTTATTTTATTTTTTATTTGTGTCTGTGTTCCCATTTATTTTCTGTCCTGGCGATTTCCCTTACTTCCTGCAAATTTAGTATTGCCTTAAAAAGTATGTCTTTTGTTTAGAAACTAATTGTGTTTTAAGCAGGAAGATCCTTGAGGAAGTTAAAAGCCCAAAGGAATTCTCTAGTTGAGAAAGTCTTAAATGTTGGCTAAAATTAGATTTTTAAGACTAAACTTTACAAAGATGAAAATTATAGAAATAAGTTAGATTTCTGGTCCAATAAATGAAATCAGCACTCAATAAGCAAGAGTGGTGATTATTCACTCGATGGTATGATTGGCAGTGGAGGTTTTTTGTTGACTAGTGCATCAAAGGTTCCATTTGTGACTGTTCATTTCTGAACAGAGAAAACAAAAATGAAGCCAAGACCTTTCTGAGTAGCTATTAGAGATGACACCGAACTAAGACAAAATATCTAAAATTATTAAAGAAACTGGTGGGAGAACACAGAATTTAACTGAACAAAAATCTACTTCACACACTTCCCAGGAAACACAATTTGGTATAGTTCACCCTGGACAAAAAACGGTTATAATCAAATTTTGCTTTTGCTTTTTAAACCCCATCAGTTTTTCTGGTCCGGTCCCTTTTCATTCTCTCCAACAATTATTTTTAACCTTTTTGTCCCTCTTCTAATCCTCAGAGCCAAACCTTCCTCCTCCCCTGTTATTCTCAGCAGAAGGCATTGATCGCTTTTTCACGAAGGGAAACTGTCACAGGCTGCATCATCACAACGAGTCCCTCCCCTCAATACTATGCTGCTTCTTTCCCCCTTCTCTCCTAGCTGTAAAGGACAAGCCCCTCCTCCTCCTCCTCTAAAAGCACCTGTGCTCTGTACTCCATCTCTTCCCATGTCCGAACAGGACTTTGTGATTCTCTATCATTCTATCTCTCATCTTCTATCATTGCTTTTCCCCTAGTTTATTTCCCAGAAGCATTTAAAACATGTTCAGGTCAGAACCGTGGGGAAAAATAACCAAATAACCAGCCCTCCTTCAACCCCTCATATCCCTCCCATTACCAATCCTCTCTTTCCCCGGCTTTACAGCCAAATCCCAGAAGAGTTGTCCAGAATTACTGCCTCAATTTCCTTCTTATTCATATTCAATCTGGATTTTACCCTCAACATCCCACTGAAATTCTCCCCATTAAGTTTTCATGTTTCCAAATCTAGTTGACATTTATTGGTCTTCACCATGCGTGATTTCTTCATAGCATTCAACACGATTTCAAACACAGTGGACACAATACACACACACACACACACACACACACACACACACACACACCCCTTTAGTCTTTATCTTAAAATGTCAGCTACAAGAGAGTCAACAGTTTAGTTGAATATCACTGTATTTAAAAACCAATTTATTTATTGTAAGACTATTGATATAATTATTCATGATTACTGTTATATATATATATATATATAATATTAGTGTAAATTATTTCTACTTTGTGTTTCGGTTTAGGCCTTACATTGATTTTAAAAGTTATATGCATAGGCCAGGTGTGGTGGCTCATGCCTGTAATCCCAGCACTTTGGGAGGTCGAGGTGGGTGTATCACGAGGTCAGAAGTTCGAGACCAGACTGGGCAACATGGTGAAGCCCCATCTCTACTAAAGATACAAAAATTAGCCAGGTTTAGTGATTGACACCTGTAATCCCAGCTACGTGGGAGGCTGAGGGAGGAGAATCACTTGCACCTGCGAGGTGGAGGTTGCAGTGAGCCAAGGTTGTACCAATGCACTCTAGCCTGGGAGACAGGGTGAGACTGTCTCAAAAAAAAATTATATGCAAGGGTAGGTTATATTATTTCTGAATTTCATTTCAGATATTAGTAAAGAGATTTTCAAAATATGTGTTAGAAGAAGTCAGTGATGGTCGATGGGACTGAGAATTTCTGCTGTAGTGGAGCCAACTCTCTCTTGGTTGAGACCAGGGAAGTGACCCAGCACGAGAGAGCTTCTGCACTCCAAGAGCCAGCTTCATTGCTTTTAGAAAAGATTTGATGGGTCAAAAGTTGACTAACTTTCTTTCCTGGAGTGATATGAGTTATTTTGGTTGTTCCTCAGGTCTTACATGGGCTACCTTAGTAGGGGGTATTTTCATCAATTTGATTGCTTCTTTGTAAAGTAAACTCTTCCGGCTTATGCATGGGAGGGCACAGTGCAAAAGTAAACCTGCAAACACAAGATGCTTTTCACCTTGACAATTGTTTGTCGCCGGGCGCGGTGGCTCACGCCTGTAATCCCAGCACTTTGGGAGGCCGAGGCGGGTGGATCACGAGGTCAAGAGATCGAGACCATCCTGGTCAACATGGTGAAACCCCATCTCTACTAAAACTACAAAAAATTAGCTGGGCATGGTGGCGCGTGCCTGTAATCCCAGCTACTCAGGAGGCTGAGGCAGGAGAATTGCCTGAACCCAGGAGGCGGAGGTTGCGGTGAGCCGAGATCGCGCCATTGCACTCCAGCCTGGGTAACAAGAGCGAAACTCCGTCTCAAAAAAAAAAAAAAAAAGAAAATTGTTTGCTGTGAATGGACTTCCTGCCACGGTTCTTTCTTTGGAAAATCCTTATCATGAACTCAAAATGGCAGGGCCATCTTTTGGTTATTGTTCCCAAGAAATGGTTTTAGCCACTAGACCACTTTCTGCACTGGGTTTCTTGTCCCCTCGCCCTGTACAGTAAGACAGTCTGGTTGCTTCAGCAGGAAGGCTTGGCTGCATGACAGGTGGGTGGTCTCTGAAGAGAGCGCCTCTTGTTTTCCTGATGGACCCAGGGCCAATGTGCTGTAGCCCCTGTGAAGCACCAAGTGTGAGGCTGTGGCTCTAGGAAGGAGTGCTTCTCCCTTTGCCTTTAAGAGAACACAGGGGTCCTAGCAGTGTGCAGATGTGTACCTTGCCGGGGCTGCCAGGGGATGCAGGCTCATGGGGAGGATAGAGGGGGCAGAGATGTGTGTGCACTGATTAGTATGCCATAGACTACAGCACAGCAGAGGCAAAGAAAGCCATCTAAGCTCTTGTTACTCAGAGTATCTGAGGAACATCGCCATCCAGGTGAGCTTATTAGAAGTGGACAATCTCAGGCCTCACCCCAGACCATGAATCCGAACCTGTGTTTGAACCACATTCCTAGGTGACTCCCAGGCACACTGTAATTCGAGAAGCACTGCTGCTTCTACCTAGACACAAGCCCTCACCCTTCAGACCACTCCAGGAAGCCTTCCTTTCACATCCCCTCGCCCCCACCCTACACTCTGTCACCTGGATCTTGCCCACTCCTCCCTGGCATGTCCCTTAGTCCCTCAGGTCTGCATGTCTGCTCTTCCTCATTGGCCAGCTCTAGCACAGATCACTGTGTTCACCTTGCCAGTCCCAAGACCTTGCCAGTGCCTGACTGAGAGCCGGCTCCAAGCTGAAGGCTGCTCAAATTGGTGAACGAATGGATACATGATCTGCATGGCAGAAATAAAAGCCTGAAGTTCGCAGAAGGTTAGTGTTTATTTGCACTGCTTTTTAGACCATCTACCAGGCTGAAAAAAAAAAGTACACAGACTCTTTCCAAGGCAAAGATATTAGACATGAACCTCAGACCGTGGCATTTGGGATTTCCAGAGCATGTTGTTGAGGCACTTTTGTACCCAGAGGCACATGGAATTTACCAGGCTGTAGGGAGTGATGTGCTCTCAGGGGCTGCTGCTGCCAGTAGCCTGGTGAGGTAGGGAGGACAGCAGTGGACGCACTCAGGGCTCAGCACACAGCCCGCCTGCCTATTGTGAGCTGATTGTCCAGCAGGTGGCACCTGTTCCCCCCTGCTACCCACCTTGGAATCGTGGGTGGGACAGGGAGGACGTGCACTGGGCTCTGCTCTGTGTCAGCATCTTTGGTATAAGGAGCCATTCCCTGGCCCAGGGCAGGCAGCCAGTAGTCACCATGGTTGGGGATCATTGGTGGGTCTCCATTGCCCATGCTTTCCCTGCCTCTCATAAGTAGGAATCGATGGACCCTCGTTATGCCAAGGCAATGCTAAAATCTCCGCTTTACCTGCCCCCTTCTTGGCGAGGCTCTCTGTGGGCCACAGCTGATGCTCCATCAGTTCCAATTTATGAGACAAGCTTCTGTCGCTCAGCCTTGACGCTGCAGATGGAAAATACCTGCAGGAAGAGCTTCCCCGGCATGGCCTTCCCTCCATCAGTCGTGTGCCTAATGAGCTAACCTAGCAGTGGGCTTCCCCCCCTTTTCACTGATGGACCCTCATGTGCTCCATAGATAGGAGCTCGTGAAGCCTCCCTGGGGAGCAGGGGCAGCCTTCACTGACCCTACTCTCTTCCTTCCATCAGAAGATGGCTTCAGGCCCAGGAGACTCACCGAGACCTCACCCCCTTTGTGTTCAAAGACGCTGTTTTTGATGGAAGATCACCTGGTTCTGCAGGGGGTTGGGGCTCAGCTGAGAACACCTGCTTCTCCACAGGGGAAGTAAGCTAGGGTCCGGAGGAAGCAGAGAGGATGGCATGTGACTGGATGGCAGATGCCCTGTGGCTCCAGTGGTGCTCTCTCCTCTTGTGCTTTGGGACAGTAGCATTTTAGGTTTGTAGCTTTGGTGAAAAGTTGCTCCCCACTGTTTTCAAAGGTAATGCTCCATGAGGAGGAAGTTGGAGCCAGTGTGGTTTTCTGGGTCCTCTGCCAGAGAACATTTGGAGTCCCCAGTATTTTTCCCCAGGACCGACTTAATGAAGATGGTCCTTCAGCCCAGGCAGGGTCCCTGGAAGGGCTCAACTCTGACGCCCAGGGAGCTTTACTCCCTAGAGTATTTTCTCTCTCTCCTCCTTGGGCTGATTTCTAAAGGGTCTGTTCTAGGCCTTCCTGGGAGACGTTCAAACAAAAGATGGGAAGGGTGAGAAGGCACAGTGGTTTAAAGAAGCTCATCACCAGCTTAAAGGAGGAAAGGAAATTAACACTTGTTCTCAAGCCAGGGTTCACTAATGGCTCTGGCAGGGAGGTGACTTCACTCTCACAGGAGGATCAGTTTGCAGGCTCCATGGTGACTTCTGACTTTCAGGGAAAAAGTCTCCCCCACTCAGCAAGGATGAGGTGGAGCAGCTTCAGCCCAACCCCCTCATCCTCCTACCGTGGGGAAAAGGACCAGGCACGGACTCCAGGCTGACTCCCTGCTTTTGCTCCCCCCAGGCCTCCATAGCCCCTGCTCACTGGTGGCTCTTCAGCCCCGTGCATGGCTGCAGGGGTGTGGTTCTGGGTAGAGCTGTTGTCCTCCCTCCCCCTTAGAGCCCCAGCTCTGCAAGAGCCTTGGGGAAGTAGCAAAAGGGGAGTTGCGGGGGTGGGGAACCAGGGATAAATCGAACCTACCACAACACAAGCCTCTCCTGTATAAAAAGTGTGGGTATGTCTCTGTAAATGTCACACTAGCATGATCTGCTCTTCTCTTAACTTAACGGCACTTGCTTTTAAATCTACACGTTGAAATCTCAGAGATCCAACTTTTTAGCGAGCTACGTATAATTGCAAATCCTGTTATATATGTGGAATATATGTAAATACGTATCACACACATATCACATATGTGTGTATGTCATTCTGCATACATTTGAGTCCCAGGAATTTGGACCTCAAACCTCCTATTTGTACACAGTTATACTGCTTTGCACCACCAAGAAAAGAAAACCTAACAGGCTCGGGGCATCACCCCTTGTGTGCCTAGTGTTCAGAGCTCAGGGCAGGCACCTCACACGTGGCTCGTCTTTTCGGCCAGGGCATTGTCCGTGGGCAGTGTGAACTTGATGGCACCGTCCCTCTCCCAGCCCCTCCGGATCCTGGTGAGTCTGCGGCTGATGCAGGGCAGGAGAAACAGGGCTTTGGCCAGGATGACGACGCAGGGCACCAGCAGCGTAAGCGTGAAGGTGGGAGGCAGGTAGAACTTGTAGCGGCTCTCCTCGAAGGCGCGGGTCCAGCCATAGGTGAGCGTGTGCAGCGTGCTCAGCACCAGGGCCAGAAAGCCCAGCGAGGACTGTGGACGGAAAAGAAAGCTGGAGTGAGGGCGAGGATGACAGATGCAGCGATCCTGCCAATGACTCATCTGCTGGCCTGGCAGAGGGGAAGGAGGGTGGCTTTAATACGGTGATGGGTTGGAACCACAGCCCTATCGCTCTCTTTGTGTGATCTTATGATAACTATCTCAACTCTCTGTGTCTCAGCTTCCACAACAGGAAAATGGGAATAATGCTTCTATGCTGAAGGTGTCTAAGGGCTGACCAATTCATGTGGATTCTGTACAGTAACCATGCTTTTTCCTTAACTTTGTTATTTGTATCTCTGGAGGATGCTGGATGATTTCAGATGGAATTAAATTCAAAGAAGTTTCAAAAACATTTAAGGCCTGCTGCAGTGGCTCTTGCCTGTAATCCCAACACTTTGGGAGGCCTAGGCGGGCGGATGGCTTGAGCCCAGGGTTTCAAGACCAGCCTGGGCAACATAGTGAGACCCTGTTTCTACAAAAAATACAAAAGAATTAGCCAGATTGTGATGGCATGTGCCTGTTGTCCCAGCTACTTGGGAGGCTGAGATGGGAGGATCATTTGAGCCCAAGAGGTCAAGGCTGCAGTGAGCCAAGATGGTGCCACTGCACTACAGCACTCTAGCCTGGGTGACAGGGCAAGACCCTGTCTCTAAATACATATGTATTTATTTATTACTAGTTTAGTGTGCATTTTAATATATATTAGAGTAACAAGTGTCTGCCAAAATCATAATTTCACAGATAACATTTGGCCTAAGTTAAGATCAGATAAAAAGTGGATTGATTTTAAATTAGCTTGAAGATAAATGCAGAGTAAATAATTTACAGATGGCACATGGATTTGGCACCAGTAGTGAGGGGGACTCACAGGGCCTGCAGTCTGCGTGAATTGGCACCGTATACAAAGCTCCAGAACACTACACAGATGCTCTCTGTGCACACCAGACCTTCACCTCCTGCCCCAGGCTGGGTTATAAACATCCCAGGTGGAAACCCCGCCAGGCCTCCTCTTCCATCTGGAGGAGATTAGTGACCGTGGGGAGAAGAGACCATCCCAACTCCAAATGGAAATGGTCCCGGCCCTTTTACAGTGGAGCTTTCCACCCCTTGAACCATGTGTGGGCTTTTGTGGGTCACTTCCAGCTAAGAGCGGCTCATCCACCACCCACAGCGTGACTTTCTGTAGGAGCTACAATGTGGAAATGGCTGGAAACTGCTGCTCTGTGGCTCCAGCCTCTTGGCATGTAAAGGTTTTTATGGACTATCAGGGAAGAGATCCAGGTTCTACTGTTGGTGCTGGTTCAACTGATATGAACTCTGGGCAAGCCACTTAGTGAACTTCAGGGAGGTAAGTAATTTCCAAAGCTAAAGCTAGAGGTGGGGGGAGTGCTGAGTAGATGCAGCAGCCTCCAACCAGTCCCCTAGACAGGGTAGTCAGTGACACAGCAGAGGGTACCAAGGGCAAGGAAGGAGCGGCACGGGGGGCTCTGACTGAATTCTGGAGCACCAGGGAGCCACTGAGAGATTTGGGGCAGGAGAGCCCTTCCATGTCTATTACACAGAGATGGACATAGCAGTGACCCATCAAGCAATGAACACATAGGCATTTTCTCCAAGGAGACATTGTGAGGGTTTAATTTAAATGTGGCAGCACACTGAGACCTCTGGGTCCTCTGTATGGATTGAGACTCCTGGATTCTCTTCTAACCAGCCTGTCGGCGTCAGTTCAGAGGCTCGGCTGAGAGACACTGTCTCATTTGCACTCCCCTCAGAATTGTTTCTAAGTGGGTCTGATTCCACATGGGGCCTCTTTCTTGCTCCTCCCTGGTGTGTGTGTGTGTGGCCCTTGGTTTGCACCTGCTCCAGGACAGACACCAAGATGGTGAACGTCAGTGAGTGAAAGAACATGGTGTGGGAGAATTGCTTGTAATGCTTTTGCCAAACATAGTAATAAACATTGTCCAATGGCTGTACACTATAATTTCACATACAGGTTCTCACATACAACATTCTTGGGCCTGGGTAAAATAACCAAATAAAACCTTCTCTATCCTTCCTCACCCTCTCTGATTCTTCTTGGCTTTGTGTCCACTTCCGGAATCTTCTTGGCCTCTCTTTAACGACTTCCTGGCTCACCACGAAGTGTGAAGAAGCCATGGTTGGCTTTGTGCTGTCACCCCCGGTGAATTTGTATCATTTTAATGTGGTCACCTCCCAAAGAGAACCCTCCTTGACTGTTAGTCACACGTAAACAAATCCTTGCCATTTCCAGAAGTGTCCATCAAGAATTCCAAATCCCCTGAAACTTCTGAGCCACTCCAACTTTTCTAAATGCTAGCCTCTTGGTGTGGAAGACTGTGGTTAAAAAGGTCCCCAGCACTGACCATCAGGAATAGATATTGAAGTCTCCCTGTTGTTCCCCAGCCAGGTGCGCTGCCCTAACTAACTGTGGGCCCTCCCACCCCTCCTCCTTGTGGACTTACAGGTGTTGCCAAGATGGCGGGGAAATGCCCTTTATCCTAGAGAGTTTATCAGTCTGTGGCTATCAGGCTGTGTTTTTCAAAACTTGCTACACATTAGAATCACCTGGGGAGCTTGGGTAAAATATTAGTGCCCAAGCCCCACTCCCAGAAATTCATATGAAATTGGTTTGGGGCAGGACATGGGCATCTGTTGTTTTTTAAGTTTCGGCAGAGAAGGCTGATGTGCAGCCAGGACTAAACCACTCATTCAGGAGACTCTCGTACCCACACCCTGCTAGCTTCAGGTTGAAAAGTCCACACGGGCCCCTCTGCCCAGGTCACTTGACTGGGCAGGGTCTGGACCTATCTGTTCCTTAGACAGAGCCACACTGAGAGCCTTTGGTGTCCACCTCTGTGTCATGCGGCTTTCCCAGAAGGTGCAGCAATGGCAGCCCATGCAGACCGGGAAAGCCAGCCTTAGTGGCCCCAGAAAGACCTTAGCATCTCCTTCAGGTGATATACCCTGTAGCTCCAGTGGTCTGTGTCAGCCACTGTCCCCAGCCCCTGACCTGGAGAGTGATGAATTTTGCTGGACACTCTGGGCTCTGCTCGGGACAGTGTGGAGACGCTGCTCCCAGGCCCACCGGCGGCAGTCAGCTCCTCCTGTTCGTATAGCCTCATGCTTGTGCCATCCAAGATCCCATGGTACAGACAGCAAGAAGCTCCAGCCTCAGGCTCGTGGTTCATAGCCAGGCTGACAGTCAAAGGCCAGCCAATAACAAAGGGCCTTTGACTTCCCAGTCCCAGTGGGAAGCCTGCATGATTCCAGAGAGTTGCTTTCCGAAAACTCTCTCCCTGGGAACAATTTAAAAATCCCAGAACCCAAAGAAGCCCACAAGAAGGAGAGGGATTGTCATGAGGTAAATAATAAGACCCCCAAGCTAGGGCCGTTTTTATTATACGTAAGCTTGTTAGTAAAAAAGAAACAGCCAGGCGGCTGTAGCTCCTGCTGGTGCTCACTTACTACGGCACGAAGGGGCTCTGGACAATGGCTCATGAAGCTGGGGCCAGGCTGGTCTTGTCATTATTTCAGGCAGGTGGCTGCAGTGGGCAAGGTCTGGGAGAGAACTTAGGTTCTAAAAGCTGAACCCTCATTTTTCTGCAGAGATGAGCTGCTCCGACTGGGGTCTTTTGCAATCTAATATCTAACAATATTTAACTGGCTGAATTGGAACACTTAGAACAACCCAAACTAAACCAAAACAATAACAAAAAATACCCAAAGAAACACAAAACAAAATGTAAAACTTTGAAAACAGCCTTGGGAATGAAAGGATAAATGCATGTACAAGTCATCTCTTTGTGGAATCAACACACTGTTTCAATGGTTTTTAGCTGAACAAAGTGTCTGAGATGCTCATACCAGAGCGACTTCACCCGGAATGGGGGCTGGGTAAAATGAGGCTGAGACCTACTGGGCTGCCTTCCCAGGAGGTTAAACATTGCTAGTCACAGGGTGAGATAAGAGGTGGGCTTCAGGTCCCTGGCTGATAAAATAGGTTGCGGCAAAGAAGCAAGCCAAAACGGATCAAAACCAACATGGCAATGAGAGTGACCTCTGGTCACCTTCATTGCTCATTATACACTAATTATAATGCATTAGCCTGCTAAAAGATATTCCCACTAGCGCCATGACAGTTTACAAATGTCATGGCAATGTCAGGAATTTACCCTATATGGTCTAAAAAGGTAAGGAACGCTTATTTCTGGGAATCGCCATCACTTTCCTGGAAAGCTCATGAATAATCCACCCCTCATTTAGCATGTAATCAAGAAGCAACAATAAGCAGAGGCAGCTGAGCAGCCACGCAGTCGCTCTATGGAGTGGCCATTCTTTTATTCCTTTGCTTTCTTAATAAACTTGCTTTCACTTTACGGAGAGTATGGAGAGGCCCCGAATTCTTTCTCGCATGAGGTCCAAGAACCCTCTTTTGGGGTCTGGATCGGGACCCCTTTCTGGTAACAAAAACATTTCAGATCTGGATCTAGGGGTCAGCCAAGACCTGTCAAGAACCATGGTTGTCCCCATAGCCTGGTGTCTGCTGTGGTCATGTGTGATAGGGGAGGGTTATGGTGCTCAGGTAACTTCTCACTGGCCGTGCTAACTTTACAGGAGAGGGTTGCAGCTTACCTCAAAAGCCAGCATGCCACTGTTGGCTGCACGCATCCTGCATTTAACGTGTCCAGCTCAAATCCTCTCGATGACCGTATGGGGTGGACACAGACACAAGTGAGCAGCAGAAGCTCCGAGAACCTAGGACGCTTGTTTGATGGTGCAGGGCAGGTAAGTGGGGGTCTTGGGACTGAAATTCAGGTCTTCCACTTCCACTGCCTGTGTTCCCTCCACTGGAGGTTGCCACATACCGCAGCATGCGCACCTATCAGTCACCCAGGGAGCTGCAAAAACAGACCTGCCATGGCCATCCCTCAGCATCTGAGTCCATAGATGGGAGGCAACCTGGGTATCTGTATTTCTCCAAGAGAGCTCTGGCTTCAACCTATTTGACAGGGACTCACAGTAAGAACGTTTTACTCTGCTGCGTGGTAGACAACCAGGTATGCTACATTTGCAAACGTAAATAGCAAACCCAGGTAACTGAAAAAATATCCTTACAACATGCAAAACATTCCACTGTTTTCTTGGTTGTTCTATTTTATTTCATTTTTAAAATGCTGGTTGTGATCCGCTGAATCAATGGCATGACCCACTAGTGAGTGTCCACCAGTTTGCAAACACTGACCTGGACCACTCTGAGGCCCAGGGCTGGAGTTCCCCGGCCTCCATCTCACTGTCTCCCACCGAACTGAAACGGATGGCTGGCAGCTTAATCAGGGATAATGGAAATGTGACCAGATACCCTAAGAATAATAGCAAAATGCTTTTTATTTTTCTTTCATACATAGTATCTCACTGTGGCTCATAAAATCCCTGTAGGGCATTAACTCCATTTTTCAGGGATGTAAACTGAGGCTCTTGGAGGAGACTTGCTCTGCCCACAGTTACAGAGCAGGGTTGTGAGGAGGGAAAACTAGAACCCAGGCTTCCCTGGCACTGACAGTACCTCTTCCATATTGGCATCTGGTTTTTGTGGATGGAAGGCAGGAATTGATTTCCACAAGTAAAATCCTGCCTTTCTACCCACCTAAGCCCCTCCCTGCTCTTGCAGTGGCGAAAGGACTGTCCTATTTGTATTTCGACTCTTTAATATGTAAAGTAGAACGCAGCTGCTAGGGTCTCAGTCAGCTCTTGCTAACAAAATCAAATCCATTGGCTTTCTCTGGCCGCCAGAGCCAGGGCATGTAATCTATGGCTGCTTAAGGGAGCAGCTTTCTGGTGAAGGGAGCAACCTGCAGTCCGTTTTAATTGTGGATAAACCATGCACCCCGGATACTCCAGGTGGGAAGAGGAAAATCCTAGATTTGGGTGTGAGACACATGGGGATTAGCGGCAGATAACTAAAATTCTTCCCTCTCTCGTACGCTAGCATGCATCAACCCTGAGCACTCCTCCAGGGACCTTCCGAGATGAGCAGAGCCAGGGAGATTCAGAGACAGACACACTTTTAAAAACATATGGCTACAACTTGGTGTTGTTCCAATGGATGCGAAGCATCCCTGGTCAGGCGCAATTAATTTGGATTACATAAGAGCATTACGCTGTCGCTGTCCCTGAGTCCTGTACCACGTCCTCCCTGCACAGATTTCTGTTGATGGTGGGGGAGGATAGGATGGCTGTTCTCTGCCCTGATGCAATGACAGGATACAGCATTAGTCAGCTCCCACCCATGGGGGGGAGGAGTTAATCCGCCAACACTGACCGCAGATTCTGTGTGGAGAACAGTGGGAGATGCCAAAGAAATGTAAACAATGTCCCTGCCTCCGTTCCCTTTATCATGGAAAGATGCCTCTGCCTGTCTTGTTCTCTATTGCATCACAGGCCTAGTAGGATGCCTGGCATGCAGCAAGCGCTCAGTAAATGTTGAATGAACAAATGCATAAAGAAACACTTGCCACTCACAGCATTTCCCAGAGTCTGTTCTGTGGAGTGTTTTTTTTTGTTTTGTTTTGAGAGATGAGGTCTTGCTATGATGTCCAGGCTAGACACTTGAACTTCTGACTCCTTGAGGGATTGCTCCAGCTCAAGGTTCCTCCCACCTCAGCCTCTGTTAGTCGCTGGGATCCCAGCCACACGCCACAGTGCCCAGCTTGTGGAGTGCTGTTAGCTGTTATTTGGAAAAAAGGAGGGGGAGGGTGCTAACGCTCCAATAGGCCTGGTTGACAAAGGTTTGTTTGTTGTAGATGTTATTAGAATCTTTGATGTGCCAAAACGCATTATGATCTCCTAGGGGGAAGCAAATCTTTTCCCAAGTTTATTTGATGACAGACCTCCTTTTTTTTTTTTTTTCTTTTCCTTTGAGAGGAAGTCTCCCTCTTGTCCCCCAGGCTGGAGTGCAATGGCACAATCTTGGCTCACTGCAACCTCTGCCTCCTGGGTTCAAGAGGTTCTCCTGCCTCAGCCTCCTGAGTAGCTGGGATTACAGGTGCCTGTCACCACACCCGGCTAATTTTTGTATTTTTAGTAGACACAGGATTTCACCATGTTGCCCGGGCTGGTCTTGAACACCTGACCTCAGGTGATCCACCTGCCTTGGCCTCCAAAAGTGCTGGGATTACAGGCATGAGCCACCGCACCTGGCCGACAGACCTTTTTTTCTGGATTTTTTCATAGGAATGGCGTCTTTGGGAAAAAGCTGTGCCGCATCCCCTATAAACTAGGGTCCTACTGCCCATCTCCCATCTACCCTACATAAATCAAGGGGTTAAGGGGAACAACAGAGCCAGGTTGAGATGAGGGGTAGAGTGTGGTGGGCTAGGCTCTTTCATTCCCTAGCCACTGACTCCTACCTAGACCAGCAAAATGTCCAGAGTCTTCATGTCATTCAATTTTGTTTGGAAAGCTCAAGAATTCTAGAAGCTAAGAATGGTGGACCCAGGGCTCAATGTTCTGGTCTGTAACTTTTTCACATGCCCGAGTCTGGCTTCCTCATGTGCTGGGAGGTTAAGCTTGTAGCGGGCAGCCCCTATCAGAAGGCTTGGATAGGCCCTCTGCGCCAGGAAGGCCTGGCATCTGACTGAGTGGCTGCTGTGCGGATGATCAGAGCCCAGACAGGTCTTGAAGGCGGAGTACTTGCTCATGAGAGGTGGGCCAGGGCCAAGCTGAAGCTCACTGACCGACGAGAGACTACTTTACCTGAACGAAGCTGAACTCCCTCCAGTTGAGTGAGTTTGCAATGGACGGCAATGAGGTCACGGCCAGCAGGGACAGTGTGCCGAGGGCCAGCACTCCCAGGGAGAGGTAGATCTCCATCCGCCAGACCTCCTCCTCCACCCAGAGGTGGCTCTTGTTGGCCAAGACCTGACATGGATGGAAGGAAAACCATGAACACTGTGGCAAAGGCTGGTGCTCTGGTCGGGCAACAATGAAGGACACGAGAAAGACAATACAGCAGGCGCTCACACTCCACCTGCCACTACCCGGCTCTGTGATGAGCGTTTCTCAGGCACTAACTCAATGAATCCTCAAAACCACCCCATGAATTAGACATTGCTATTATTCCACTTTAGAGATGGAGGAAATGAGACAAAATGATCAAGTCACTTTTCCAAGGTCACATGTAGCTAACAGATGCAGAGCTGGGATCAGGACCTATGCAGTCTGGCGCCAATGACCTGGACTCCTGGGTCTTTCACACATCAGCCAATCAGAACAGTCACAGCAGCAGAGGAAGGAGTCAGCCAGAAATACAGCTCATAGGCATGGCTCCGCCGCAGGGTTTTCTGGCCCCCAAATCCCAGGACAGGAGAGAGGAGCTCTCCTAGCTCTGAATCCCCTCAGCCAATGAACTCACGCCTTCACTGGCTGCTTCCCTTTCCAGCCTGTCTCACCCTGAGCCCTCTGTCTTCCTGGGCCACCACGCTGCCCCTGTCACTGGCTCACACTCAGGACATACAAAGACACATGCAGACACTGACTCCCCAACATTTCCTGATCCAAAGCTCTCAGCCTCCCCTCTTCCTACCCAGTTCTCTGCTTCTGCCTGGGGCACACGGCCTGGGCTCAACTTTGCCAGGTAAGAGAGACTGATGGCCATTCACCAAGCAGTTCAGCAAGCACTTAGGAAGCACCTACTGTGTGCCAGGCCCTGGGCTACAGAAAATAAAGATACCAGCCCTCATCCTGCCCTTACAGAGATCTGAGGCCCTCACCAAGCTCCAGGACACATAAACTGGGGAGCCCCCATGAACCTGGAGATTTCTCCCCCTTCTCTCCCCACCTTGCCGCTGAGCCCCCTCCTAGCTACTCACTCACATAGTGCCCTCAAGAGGAAGAGCTTTTATCAAGGTGCAACTAGACCAGGTATTAGAGTTCCTGGAAGTCAAGGTGTTCTCTGTGAAACACTGAAATGCTTTAATTCTATAATATCAGCAGAACAAGGAACAGTATTTCCATTAGAAAATGTGACTACACTTTAACAGGCAGCCTCTGAAAACAGAATGACTCATACAGGTTTTTTGAGAAACAATTTCCGCAGCAGAAAAAAAAAAATAACATGAGCTCAGTTACCAGATAAAATATTAAAAGTGGATCCACTGGGCTGAGCAAAATGGTTGTAAAACTCATAAGAGAAGGTTTAAAGAAACAGAGAAACTGCCATCCATTGGGCACTTTTCCTGCAATTTGTGAAAAACGATTGCCTCTGTTAGGGCAGGTCTGGCTCAGTTTGGTGACTTTAAGCCACTAAGGGACCAGGAGTCTGGGGACCCAGCCTCTCGTTTTGACCACCAGTGGCATGTGACTCTGACAAGTCTGTCTCTGGGCCTCAGTTTCTCTACCTAGGAGGTTTGAATGAGATCATGTCTGAAATTCTTTTGATTTCGCTTTCGTGCCTGCTGCGGTTGAAGTCACCATTAGCTGGAAACACATGCAGGGGGCAGAGAGGTCTCCTCCGTACCTCTGCCCAAAGAAGTCTTACTCACAGCTCGCAGCATGAATTGAGTAAGTCATCTCCGCGCTGGAAGTTGTTTGTTCTTCATTAGTCATTCCTCTCTGTGTCTCGGGAAGATCAGGCAGTTAATGTCACAAGTCAGAGTTTGGATGATTACACACATACCACATTTGCTTGTAAAATGTCTTGTTTTTTTCCTCTAATATTTCCACTCTGCAGTAAGGGAGGGAAGGGAGGGATGATGTGGGCAAGGGAGAAGTGGATGGCGAAGGCCCGCATGAGGATTGAAACTAAGTCAGCCTTAGGAGCCTGTGAGATTCTCGGCCAGCCTACTAAACCACAGCGCTGTGCTCAGAGCTCCCTGGTGACCAGTGTCACATATGGCTAACTGGAACGGAGGTGTAACAGCTCCCCTAATAAGTCTCTATGTTTAGAGATGAACAAGTTTGCCGCCTCGTGAAGGCCAAGGAGAATGGTCATCAACAGAGATGAAAAGACAGCATTCAGGTGTGGGATTTCCCTCTAGGTTGCAGGCCAGACACTGAAGGACCAGTGAGGCTGCAGCATCGGCCCCTCTCCATGACTTCACAGCAGGTGATGGATGGGAAGAGAGTGGTACTGACCCACTGCTTGCCAGACTCAGAGGAGGTGTGGCAGGGTGTGGAAGGGCAATCTGGGGGCACAGAGACCACAGGCCTGAATTCTGACGCCAATGCTGCCACTGGTGGGCCGTCATGAGACCCTGGACGGTCCCTTTCCTGGCTCACAGCATCATTGTGTCTTGCCGTGTTACTGAGGTACTAAACGGATTACTTTTGTGGCATGAGTAGCAGGAGACTGGTCCACAGTGGGCACTTAATGTAATGAATGGCTGTTATTCTTAGTGGCGATGAGGCAGTTAGACTGGTTCTTGCTCCAAGCTCTACGTGCGCTCCTCTTAAGATGCCTGGTATTGGCTTTGTGGGGGCCAATTTAAAAATCAGTCACTCAGTGAACATGAACTGTGAACCTGTGTTAGGAATCATGGACCCCGAGGTGTGGAAGACCCAGTCATGGACCTGTGAGTCAGGTATGAAGTGCTGTGTAAGAAAAACCATAGACGTGTTTACAAAATACAACGGACTGCAGAGGCAGACATGGAGAAGATAGGGGACAGGCTGGGGGAGCTTAACAGAAGTAGCGCTTGGAAGGAGAAACAGGAGTTTGCAGGCTGTCAAGTTGTCCCAGGGTGGGTATTCCAAGCCAAGAGGAATGAGCTCTGTCCATTTAGTGGGTAGTACGGGACCCAAGTGTTGACACATCACAGGAGAAGGGGAGATGGTGAGGCTTCGGCGGGAGTATAGCCACATAGTGAGGGTTCTACATTATCCCAAGGACTTGGGAGTCACTGAACCTTTTCAGCAGCAACATGGTCAGATGAGAGTTGCAGACCATCCCAGGCCGGCCATGTGCAGATGTAGCTTGGAGTGAAGGCAGGAGGAGAACAGTGTGTAGGTTAAACATTTCTTTGATCTTGAAATGTGTATCTCTAGGGAATACACAAGCAAATCCAAACACCCTATATAAATATCAGTTATTGCTGGTAATAGTACCATCTGTTAACATGGTCTCAAAGGTTTTCTCTATAGCAGGGATACAGCGTTGCCTCCTAATCTACAGACTCAGGGCTGTAAGGAAATCTTGGAGGAGTTTCTTGTGGCTGAACTAATGTGCTCCCTTCACCCAAAGGGCCCAGTGGGCAGCCGGGGTGGTGAGTGGCCATGTGGGGACACTGTGGTGAAGTGCCCACAGTCTGGCAGTGGGCCTGAGCTGCCCAGGAGGCCCTGCTGTTGGAGGCTGAAGACAGAACAGCCCGAGGTGCCCAGGCCCAGAACCGAGGGCATGACTTACCATAAGCCATCCAGCATCTGCTTGGATGTCTCCAGGTGTGGCCACCTCCCCACATCTGGGCCGCTGCGTGTCAAGCCCCTACCTCCCTCTGACCATCCTCCCGATATATCCACATCAGCCCTGGTTCTGCCCTCAAGAACTCTGCAGAACAAGTGTAAGCCCCTTTGCGTGAGAGGCCTTCAGTGTCTCTGACTGATCTCATCGTGCGGGAGGGACGGTTGCCTGGCAACCTCACCAGGGTCTGCAGCCCTAAAGAGCTTTGGGACTTGGGGAAAATTACCTTGCATGAGCCCCTCTGTGCCCTGGTATTTGCATCACGGCAAAATTGGGTTAACAGAATATCAGGGAGAGCCTTGGCAGGGTGGAGAATTTAGACAAAGGCAGTTGGAAGGTGGCATCGGAGGGAGGGAGCAGTGGTGTGTCTTGTGCCCTGGGGGGTACTGGGGATCATTACCGTTTTTCCCACCCGTTTTTCCCACTGCCACTGGAAACACCTGCCAGCTCAGGGGAGAGGGCTCCCACATACAGGGAGTGGGTTTCTCCACGCAGATCTGCCCCCTCCTGGGCAGCAACATTGTACCAGTCCCTGAGGAGCTGGCAGAGCCTCCTGCCAAGGGGCTGGCTCTTTGTAGAAGTCAGTAAGAAAATATCATCAAAGAGCATCGCAAACATTAGCACTAGGAGAGAGCTTGATCTAACATCAGGATGCTGAGGACAAAAGAGGGGCGGTGACTGGCTCAGGGTCAGGGTCTTCGTTCCAGTCAGCGACAGCCGGCCTTCAGGTCTTCACACCACCCCACACCAGCTGAGGCAAGGAGCCAGACTGCCTGGTCTTTCTTACTCCTTTCTGTGGCCCCAGGGCATTGCAGAGTAGGTGCTCAGTGAATGAGTGAATGAATGACCTAGTTCTGAAATCATGTACTCAACTGTTAATCTGTAGAAAATAGTGTGGGTGTAAGCATGGATCTGGAAAACAGCTGGATCTGAATCCTGGCTCTGCTACTTACTGGCTGTGTGACTTTGGCTAGGTTACTTAACCCCTCTGTGCCTCAGATTGCTCATCTATGAAATAAGGATAGAATAGCACCTGCCCTACACGGGTGAGATAGAGTTAAATGATTTCACAGTGATGTATGAAGCTCTTAGAATGGCTCCTGGAACACGGTGAGCTCTTGTTAAGGGTTCATGACTATGATTTCTTCCCTTACTCTCATTTCCGTCAAGCATCTTCCTTTTCCGCCTGAAGTCTGGGGTTCTTCCTTTGTCTTAGGAAAGTCCGAGCCCACAGATGCAATGACGCTGGTGTCTGTGGGTGGCGAAGGATGAGGGCAGTTGAGCAGCTGCCGGCAGAGAAGCGGCAACCCTGATGGTGAGTAGGGGCTGAGGTCTGGTTCTTGGGAGGTGCCCAGCCCTGCTTCCCAGTTCTGCCAATCCCCATCCTTGGAGGGGATGGTGCTGTGCTAGGTGATTAGGGGAGGGCCCAGCCTCAGCAAGGTCCCTGCATCCCGAGCAGGAGCAGGAGCTGTCGGGGACTCCAGGCTGGAACAACGGGTGGATGAGAAGTATCTCACCAGCACCTGGGCCGAACTGTGTTGGGTTACTAGCATCCTAGAGTGGGCAGGACCTATGCACCAGCCAGCCCCAGGGCTGGGCACTGGAGGTGGAATTCAACTGGAGAAAGTAAAGAAAGGCAGTGTTGCTTGAAGACCTAAGCTTGGGACTAAGAATCAAGCCCCGTGAGCTTGTGGACCAGGAAGGAGCTTCAGGGGCCCCTCTCTGTGGGCAGAGGGGCCAGCTGATGCTTGGGTCCCCACCTGGTATGGCCCGAAGGCCTTCCACTTTGCAGGAATCCTGCTGGCAAACAACTGCCATATGGATTTTCTAAATCAATGGTTAATGCCATCACCAGTAAAAAGCAAACAACAGCAACAACAAACCCAAACCTGGAGCGCTCACTCCTGCAGCCTTTCCCATCTCAGGTGCTCCGACCCAAACCTCAGTCATCCTTGACCACCCTCCAAAACCCTAGGCCCGTTCCAGCAGCAATTTCCTGCACTCCAGCTTCACATGTGCCTTCAGGACCTCCTTGCTCCTTCACTGTTCCCACCACCTCCAGCCTCTACTGCCTCAAATCGGGACACTGGCATGGCCTCCCCGCTGGTCCCAGCAGGTGCCTTTGACGCCCCTATAGTCTATTCTCAGCCAAAAGCCAGAGAGAACCACTTAAAATGTCAGGCAGATCAACGCCTAAATTCAAACCTTCACTAGCTCCCTATTTCACTCAGAGCCTAAGGCTGAAGCCCTTGCTGGTCTGGCTCGGACCTCGCGGGCCTCACCTGCCACCTACTCCTTGTTCAGCTCCAGCCACATGGGCCACTTGGCTGCTCCTCCAATGTGCCAGGCACACTTCTGCCCAAGGAGTCCGCCCCGTGGCCTGCAACACCACCCCAGCGGGCCGCCGCCGCTCTTCCCTCCTTCCTGCCCTGCTCACATAGCACTCACTCTGTCCATCCCTGCTTTTCTTTGCCCCTTAGCACTCCTGACCCTCTTCAACACCCGCTATAACTCACTGCTGTGTTTTGTTTAAGTCTGCCCTAACTGGGCTGTACCTCCGAGGGCAGGAATTTTCATCTGCTTTGTTCACTGATACTCAAATTCTTGGGCGGGACACGGGTGCTGCCCCATCGAAACAGAATCTGCAGTTGGCAACCGGCGAGGCTGCACTCGTGGGTATCGGCTACACCTGGTTGGTGGAGGGCCCTGGACAGGCACGTGCTGAATGCCAGAGGGAGGAAGGGCGTGGGGTTGGTACCTGCTTGACCGCCAGGTTGACCAGGTCATAGCGGTGAGAGCGGCGCAGCGGCAAGCAGAAGCTGTAGAGCGCGTGCAGGGCGGCACAGAAGAAGCTGAGCAGCCCGATCTGCTTGCGGTGCTGCAGCCAGTGGTCCAGCCAGTCGGGGAAGCGGTGGTACTTCGTGCCACGCCGAAGCTGCAGGGTGGCCGCCAGCACGCCGGGCAAGTACACCAGTGACAGCAGCACATAGGCCACACACGGCAGCGTGGTGTTGACCACGGACACGGGCAGCTTGAAGAATTTGTTCTTGCTTTCCTGCACATAGGGCTGCAGCACATCCCGGACAAAGTTGTAGGCATAGAAGCAGATGAAGAGCCCCAGGGCCAGCAGGGTGGGCACCTTCCAGGCCGGGAGGAGGCGCAGGGGCATGGCCTCTATCTCCCGGGCTGATGCCAGGGATCCCATGTCCACGGGCATGAAGCCCATGGTGATTGCCATCTCTGAGACAGCACGCTTGGCTTCTGGCTGGTCACTGCAGATGGGCACCTGTGGGAGGAAGAGCGGGGCAGTCAGATGGGGACACAGGCCACCAGAGTGGGCAGGGCATCACTGAGCAGCTGGGGAAACTGAGGGCGAGAGGGGCGGGGACTTGTCTAAGTGAGCTGCCAGTCAATGGTATAGGTGGGAGCCAATGGGGCTCTGGCTCCCAGGCCAGGGGTCTTTTTTCTGCCTCCCGGGTCTCCCAGCCTCTGGCCCAGCTGCCCAGCCAGGCCAACTACTCAAGGAGGGAAGCTGCGAACAGTAAGCGTCTTGCCCAGCTCGTGGACATCAGCAGCCACAAGCAAAATGGTCATCCAGGCAGCCCCGATGGGACCCTGGAATGGCTGCCTCCAAGGCTGTGGCCTGCCCTGAGAGCTGCTCAGCAAAGGAGTTCTGTGTTTTGTGCAGGATGTGCAGCCGTGGCTGCAGCCTCATCCCTCAGTTAGGAATCGTGCCCCTTGATGATGTCCCTCGGCTCCACAGGGCCCTCAGCCAGTGCATAAGGCCTTCTTCCGCAAGCCAGCTGTAGCCTGTCCTCTCCACCTTGAAGCCACTGCTCTGGCCCACGAGGTCCCACTGCAGGCACATGGGAGTCTTCAGATCCTAAAGCACTCGTGGGCTTTGCTGACACCGCATTGGTCAGCCTAGTCTTGAAAAACAGCCTGAACACTACTCTGTGTGGGCTTAACATACATGATTTCTCAGCCTTGCCATGAGCCCGCAGGTGGGTACTATTGCCCTCATTGTTCAGATGAGAAAACAGGTCTAGGAGCATTGTTTCCTATCTCTGCACCTTTTCAGATTGTTCCCTCAGTCTGGAATGCACTCCCGGCTCCCTGAGCCTGACAGCATGAGGTGGGCCCAGGTCAAAGCCCTCCTCGAAGTCTTCTCCAGTCAGCCTGCTTGCTCTGTTCCCTCCAGGCCCTGCACCCAATGCTCCCCACTGTTCCTCCTGGTCGCCCCATGATGCAGCCTGCATTTATGGCCCTGTAGTCAGGTGTGGCTGGGCACCTTTAAACTGCCCCATAGAGCCTGCCACCTGGGCTGGACTTATTGGTGGGAGTTCTTACACACACGGAGTCTGGCATTCTTTTAGCCAAGAAAATGCAGGTGGCCTTTTGGCATTAAAAACCACCTATCTTGGTAAGAGCTCCTCTTGTCAAGAAATGTATGCAGCTCTAGCTGTTCCATGGAGCCATTAGCCAGCCCCAGAAAAACCTGCTGTTGACTTTTCTGAGAAATCAGTTCTTGGAAGCCCTTAGAATAAATAAGATAAAGTTCGAGACATGAGTGCCTCTCTCAGGGCCTGGCACATAACTGTGTTACTTTCCTCCTTCTGAGTCCTGTCCTGAGAGCCAAGTCTCTTTCTTTCTTGGCTCCAAATAGCAAAAAGTCAACAAGCTTTTCCTCCTTCCCTTCTAGGAAACCCAGTTATTGTAGCAGAAAGAACATGGGTTTCAGATCCATACGAACTGGGTTCAAACCCCAACTCACCAGCTATGGGATTTTGAGTAAGATCGTTAATATGTTTGAGCCTCAGTTTCCTGTTCCATAAAATGGAAATTTGCAGTCATGCAAGATTAGCTACGGTAACATACCAAAAAAAGGCCTGGCATGCTGGCAGCCCTCAGTGAAAATTAGCCATTTATATTTATTGTTATGATTGATATTATTCCCCCAGAACCCACCTGCCTGTTACCATCCCTCGGGCCAGCCTGCAGCGTCCAGGCGGAGATGACATTGAAGGCCTTGACCACTGTGCAGGTGGGGAAGAGGGAGGCCAGGTACTCAGCATTGGACTCGCGATGCTGAAGGTGCTCTTGCTCTGTGGGGTTGCTCACATCCACCAGGATCTTTCCAGCTAGCTGGTCGCTGAGACTGCACAGTGAAGAGTAGTGCTCCCGGAACACAGCCACAAAGATGACCTCCGGGGAGCTCACTGCCTCCTCCTGGAAAGTCACTTGGGCCGCTGAGGGGAACAGCCCAGCTGTGCGTTTCGGGTTGCGGCTCCCCACCACCACTTTGAAGCCAGAGCTCACTAGGCGTGTGGCCAGGGAGCGGGCAAAGTCCCCACTACCCAGGATGCCCACTTTGGGGGCCTCATCGGGGACCTTGGCAAGGCTGGTATCGCTGTCCACCAGGTGGAGGCTGATCAGTGGCTTGTCCATCTCTCTTGACATTTTGGTGGCTGCAAGAGAAGTCAGGAACCTGGTCAGCAGAGGGCTTCAGGACTGCCCCTTCTGCCACCCCCCTCCTCTTGTACATTGTAACAACACAGCAGTCAGACATTCACCCAGCAGGTGTTTCCCAAGTGCTACCATGTGTCAGCACCAGGAGGACAAGCTGAGCACGACCCGGCCCCTTCCCTGGGGAGAGCACAGATTCAGGAAGAGCAGGGAGAAGGACTTCTGCCCTCCATTCATTGTCCCTCATGCTGAATTATTTCCTCAGGAAAAACTGGCAGAGTTGAGTGCTGGGAAAGGGGACTCTGAAATTTCCATGACTAATGTGATGCAGTGCCATACTTCTTTTTAAAGTGATTATGCAGTGGACAGTGTCACTAGCCAGGAGTGACGGTGTAACCCCAACCTCACCATGGCTGGGTGTTATCTTTGACAACCAGGAGGGGTGAGCATGTCCTTATGCTTGTTTACATTTTGCATCTTGGAGCAGCTCTTCTCCTGCTCTTCCTGAAGGATGGTGAACAGCTCAAGGGCAGGACCTCATCTCATCTGACTTTGGACCTCACTGTGTATCATAGCCTGGCACAGGAGGGGTGCTCAGTGTTTACTGAATGAATGAATGAACACTGAGCCTGGCTCTCTGAGGGCAGGACTGGAGAGACATGACAATGAATGGGCCCCTGAGATGGGGGGTGCCCTGTGATCTTCTTTGCTGAACCCAAGATATGAGTGGATATGGAAGAAATCCTGGACTAAGGCCAGGAGTCTACAGTAAACTTGGATGGGAAAATTATTATATATTATTACCAACTTCTAACCAAAATTTGCTATTTCCTTGTAGGCAACATAATTGTTCATTAATACTCATCAAGATCATATCATAAATTGACCTGTAAATAATTTCTCCTAATGCTCTTTAAATTCAGCACAAATTTAAAACCATGCCAACCAGATGCAGTGGCTCACACCTGTAACCTTAGCACTTTAGATCAAGGCAGGAGAATTGCTTGAGGTCAGGAGTTTAAGACCAGCCTAGGCCACATAGGGAGGTTCTGTCTCTAAAAAAATAATTTAAAAAATTAGCCACTTAGCTGGGCATGGTGGTGCGTGCCTGTAATCCCAGCTACTCAGGAGGCTGAGGCAGGAGAATTGCCTGAACCCAGGAGGCGGAGGTTGCGGTGAGCCGAGATCGCGCCATTGCACTCCAGCCTGGGTAACAAGAGCAAAACTCCGTCTCAAAAAAAAAAAAATAAAATAAAATAAAAATAAAAAATTAGCCAAGCACAGTGGCATATGCTTGTGGTCCCAGCTACTCAGGAGACTGAGGCAGGAGTATTGCTTGAGCCCGGGAGTTGAAGACTGCAGTGAATGTACCACTGAGCTCCAGCTTGGGTAACAGAGCAAGACTGTCTCAAAATAATAATAATAATAATGTAAAGATAAAATTACAGTAGACACTAGACCTGCCACTAGATCTTGTCATTTAATATGCTAATAAAGAGGCATGCATACTGCTACTATAATCTTTTTTGAAAAATATTTTCACTGTGCTTCCATATATCATGTTTCCTTTGTAACCCTAGGTTATTTTATTCGATGCATGTAAGATTATTCTGAGCAGAAGTCCACAGGCTTCCCTAGCCTACATTCCACAGGGCTCAGTAATTCCTAACCTGAAGCAGTGGAGCGGCTGGGATGGCTTTCAACACCCTGCATAGGTGTCTGCCTCTTCCCACTTTTCCACAACACTCTCCTGGAACCTCTGGACACCTGACCAGGTGAGGGAGTGAGTCCAGGGACTGATGAAAAGGTGGGGCAGGGGGTCCAGGAGGTTGGACCCGGCTCTGCTATGAACCAGCTGTGTGTCTTCAGACAAGTCTGTGTGCCTCTCTGGGCTCCAGCTTCCATCTTTGTCAATGGAGATCACAACCTCTGCTCTCAGATGACAACGCAATCCTAAGGGGTTTTCGAAACTGTGATTGTTTCTTTTACAAGGCAGCAGTGGCAGCTCCTGTCAGCGGGATGCCTACCAGTCACCATTGCTGCTATCAGGCCTTTTCTCCGGTGATGGGCCTCTGGTCCCCACAAGAACCCCAGGACGTAGCTCCAGTTATCATCCCCACTTTACAGAGGAGGGAACTGAGGCTCAGAGAGGCTGAGGAACTTGCTTCAGGCAGCACAGAAAATTGAGGGAAGGAAGAGCAGGACGCAGGTGCGTCTGCCTCTGCAATCAGAGCTTCACTCCTCTTACTGCACAGACAGAACAGCGAGGTGTCTGGAGATGACCCCGATAGCAGCAGAGCTGGGACCACCCCAGCTGGGTAAAATGAGAACTCTAACTACACCTCTCTAAAGGCTGTCTGAGGATGAAATGAGTTAATATGTGTAGAAACTCAGGGCTCTTTTTTGACTGGTATGTATGTACTTGTGTTTCCTAATCTTGTATGCATGTGTGCTTGTATGCACACGCGTGTGGGCACGTGTCCTATTCTTGTGCACATGTGTGTTGTGTGTACTATCCTCTAACTTCGTGGACAGTGGCCATGTTCAAGTCTTCTGCCCTCCTGCCTCCTGGTGTTCTGCATGAACCCTACTGCTGAGAGTTGCCAGGGGCTGGGGGCAGGACAGGAGGTACACGTTCTGGAAGTCCCAGAGGTCCGTCCCTGTGGGCTGAGGTGAGGGTGTGACTAACCCTGGTTCTCTGGGGGTTCTATTTATAGAACTGGAGAGGGAGCAGACAGGGATCAGATTGCGGCTCTGTGGGCAGAGGCCTGTCTCCTGCACGCAGACCTGCCCACCTTCCCGCAAAGCTGTGGACAGAACTGCATGGAGGCTCTGGTGTCCTGGCCCCTCTGGGTCTCTGCCCAGGGTTGTCTGTTACCTCCCTCTTCCTGGCAGGGCTACAGCCTGTGTTTATGGCTGGGAGCCACGCCTGGCCCATGGGCCTGCCTGCCAGCTCATGTCTGCTTTTGTGCAGGCCACTGATGGTTAGTGGCATGACATCCACAGCTGTGTGGCCTCTTCTTCATGGACACCGACCACCTTTCAGACACAGGTGGCAAGGGCAGGCTGTGGCCATGGAGAGTTTGCTGTGACGTTGGTGTGGGTGGGGGTGCTGGGGTCACAAGCAATTAGAGGTTGGCTGTGGCGCCCTGCAGCCAGATAGAGGAGGCCTGCAGGCCAAGAACGGGGTCCCTCGGACTCCCCCCATGTGGGGGCTGACTGCGCAAGGAGAGAGAAAATAACCCAGTTCTTGTCCTCAAGCAGCCCACAGTTATCTTCAATTTTAAAAAATATTTATTTATTTATTTATTTATTTATTGAGACAGAGTCTCGCCCTGTCACCAGGAGTGCAGTGGCTCAATCTCGGCTCACTGAAACCTCCACCCCCTGGGTTCAAGCAATTCTCCTGTCTCAGCCTACCAAGTAGCTGGGACTACAGGTGCTTGCCACCACGTCAATTAAATTGGCTAATTATCGTCAATTAAAAACAATTTTTTTATCTGGTCAGTAAAATTACACTTGGGGGCACACATTCCTATTACTGCTCTATTTCTTTATAAGTAAAATACATTTAAAATGTACGCTTATGCAGTAGTGCCCTATAATGTTGTATGTGGTATAAATCACATGTAAACAAATGTAGATACAAGGGAGGAGGTTCTGTATGTCCTCCCTGCTCCCAGAGAATGAGCCTTTACAAGCCCCGGGGAGGTCCACACACACCCCGGAGACCTTTGGCTTGTGGGAGGGCCAGGCAGCAGACCAAAGTGTTCAGGGTCTCCTGACAAGGGCACTGACTTCAGAGACAGCGGGGACTGGGCAGATTCCTGCAGGAGGTGGGCCTGAGCTGAGTCTTGACAGACTGAGTGAGTCCAAGAAAAGCACTTCAGAAAGAGGGGCCCGCATTGAGTGAAGGGGAGCCAAGACGGCCCGGAGTGCAGAGACCCATCAACAGTGCGTGTCCCTGGGTGAACGAAACAGCCTGGTGCCCACAGCCAGCACCAGGGCTGAGCAAGCCACAAGTGAAAACACAAAATCTTGCACACAGCCTGGCCAACATGGTGGTACCCATCTCTACTAAAAATACAAAAATTAGCAGGGTGTGATGGCACGTGCCTGTAATCCCAGCTACTCCGGAGTCTGAGGCAGGAGAATCACTTGAACCTGGGAGGTGGAGATTGCATTGAGCCAAGATTGCGCCACTGCACTCCAGCCTGGGCGACAGAGTGAGACTCCATCTCAAACAAACAAACAAAAACAAAAAACAAATTCTTGCACGGAACTCTTTTCTAGAGTGAAAACGAGTAGAGAGGGAAGGAGAAAGGACCTGGATCTGCAGTTTACCCTGAGTATCTCTCACATCAGTGAGAAGTACTGAACTCGCCAGTCAGTCCGCTCTCTAGCCTGTTTCTTCATCTGTAAAATGAAAATACCAATTTTCCCTCAAGGGCATGAAGTAGCCAAGAGCCGTATACACCCGAGGCACTGCTCTGTGGCTGGGATGTTTCTGGGAGTTCCTCCCCTGTGGTCTTTCTTTTCATGTACTCATTGTCCACCCCCCACCCCACTTCCCTGAGCTTTGGGAGGGCAAGATGGTTGTGTTTTCTTCCACCTGCACCCAGAACCCTACACCATGCCTAGCACGCTGCTGAGGTTCTGTGCATCTCTCTGACTGACTTTACACCACTGAAGACTATATTGCCTCTGGGTGCAGAAATCCTTCCAAAATGCAGTACAGGATCAGATCCTCATCCAGCACCCCAGGAGTCACCCCAACCAGCCTGGGCTTCATGTTATGTTTTCACAGAGCCTTTGAATAGGCTCTCCACCTCTTTTCTCATCATCAGGACTTTGCCAGCACCATCTGTCTGCCTCCTTGCCTCTTAAAGGCCCCCAGGTCCTGTTAATTTGCTCCTGACAAGCAATTGAGAGAGCACAACATCAAGAAAGTGAAATGCCAACTCAGAATGGAGAAGAGTTTTGCAAATCATATATCTGATAA